TCGGCTATATTGAGTCATTACGTCACGTCTGTACACATAAAGAAGAGTCTCGGCTAGTAGACTATATTGAGTCATTACGTCACATCTGTACACATAAAGAAGAGTCTCGGCTAGTAGGCTATATTGAGTCATTACGTCACATCTGTACACATAAAGAAGAGTCTCGGCTAGTCGGCTATATTGAGTCATTACATCACATCTGTACACATAAAGAAGAGTCTCGGCTAGTCGGCTATATTGAGTCATTACGTCACATCTGTACACATGAAGAAGAGTCTCGGCTAGTTGGCTATATTGAGTCATTACGTCACATCTGTACACATAAAGAAGAGTCTTGGCTAGTCGGCTATATTGAGTCATTACGTCACGTCTGTACACATAAAGAAGAGTCTCGGCTAGTAGACTATATTGAGTCATTACGTCACATCTGTACACATGAAGAAGAGTCTCCGCTAGTCGGCTATATTGAGTCATTACCTCACATCTGTACACATAAAGAAGAGTCTCAGCAAGTCGGCTATATTGAGTCATTACGTCACATCTGTACACATAAAGAAGAGTCTCAGTTCATCGGCTATATTGACTCATTACGTCACATCTGTACACATAAAGAAGAGTCTCAGTTCATCGGCTATATTGAGTCATTACGTCACATCTGTACACATAAAGAAGAGTCTCAGCTAGTCGGCTATATTGAGTCATTACGTCACATCTGTACACATGAAGAAGAGTCTCAGCTCGTCGGCTATTGAGTCATTACGTCACATCTGTACACATAAAGAAGAGTCTCGGCTAGTCGGCTATATTGACTCATTACGTCACATCTGTACACATAAAGAAGAGTCTCAGTTCATCGGCTATATTGAGTCATTACGTCACATCTGTACACATAAAGAAGAGTCTCAGCTAGTCGGCTATATTGAGTCATTACGTCACATCTGTACACATAAAGAAGAGTCTCAGCTCGTCGGCTATATTGAGTCATTACGTGACATCTGTACACATAAAGAAGAGTCTCAGTTCATCGGCTATATTGAGTCATTACGTCACATCTGTACACATAAAGAAGAGTCTCAGCTAGTCGGCTATATTGAGTCATTACGTCACATCTGTACACATAAAGAAGAGTCTCAGTTCATCGGCTATATTGAGTCATTACGTCACATCTGTACACATAAAGAAGAGTCTCAGCTAGTCGGCTATATTGAGTCATTACGTCACATCTGTACACATAAAGAAGAGTCTCAGCTCGTCGGCTATATTGAGTCATTACGTCACATCTGTACACATAAAGAAGAGTCTCAGTTCATCGGCTATATTGAGTCATTACGTCACATCTGTACACATAAAGAAGAGTGTCGGCTAGTCGGCTATATTGAGTCATTACGTCACATCTGTACACATAAAGAAGAGTCTCAGCTAGTCGGCTATATTGAGTCATTACGTCACATCTGTACACATAAAGAAGAGTCTCAGCTAGTCGGCTATATTGAGTCATTACGTCACATCTGTACACATAAAGAAGAGTCTCAGCTAGTAGACTATATTGAGTCATTACGTCACATCTGTACACATAAAGAAGAGTGTCGGCTAGTCGGCTATATTGAGTCATTACGTCACATCTGTACACATAAAGAAGAGTCTCAGCTAGTCGGCTATATTGAGTCATTACGTCACATCTGTACACATAAAGAAGAGTGTCGGCTAGTCGGCTATATTGAGTCATTACATCACATCTGTACACATAAAGAAGAGTCTCAGTTCATCGGCTATATTGAGTCATTACGTCACATCTGTACACATAAAGAAGAGTGTCGGCTAGTCGGCTATATTGAGTCATTACGTCACATCTGTACACATAAAGAAGAGTCTCAGCTCGTCGGCTATATTGAGTCATTACGTCACATCTGTACACATAAAGAAGAGTGTCGGCTAGTCGGCTATATTGAGTCATTACGTCACATCTGTACACATAAAGAAGAGTCTCAGTTCATCGGCTATATTGAGTCATTACGTCACATCTGTACACATAAAGAAGAGTCTCAGCTAGTCGGCTATATTGAGTCATTACGTCACATCTGTACACATAAAGAAGAGTCTCAGCTCGTCGGCTATATTGAGTCATTACGTCACATCTGTACACATAAAGAAGAGTCTCAGTTCATCGGCTATATTGAGTCATTACGTCACATCTGTACACATAAAGAAGAGTGTCGGCTAGTCGGCTATATTGAGTCATTACGTCACATCTGTACACATAAAGAAGAGTCTCAGCTAGTCGGCTATATTGAGTCATTACGTCACATCTGTACACATAAAGAAGAGTCTCAGCTAGTCGGCTATATTGAGTCATTACGTCACATCTGTACACATAAAGAAGAGTCTCAGCTAGTAGGCTATATTGAGTCATTACGTCACATCTGTACACATAAAGAAGAGTGTCGGCTAGTCGGCTATATTGAGTCATTACGTCACATCTGTACACATAAAGAAGAGTCTCAGCTAGTCGGCTATATTGAGTCATTACGTCACATCTGTACACATAAAGAAGAGTGTCGGCTAGTCGGCTATATTGAGTCATTACATCACATCTGTACACATAAAGAAGAGTCTCAGTTCATCGGCTATATTGAGTCATTACGTCACATCTGTACACATAAAGAAGAGTGTCGGCTAGTCGGCTATATTGAGTCATTACGTCACATCTGTACACATAAAGAAGAGTCTCAGCTCGTCGGCTATATTGAGTCATTACGTCACATCTGTACACATAAAGAAGAGTGTCGGCTAGTCGGCTATATTGAGTCATTACATCACATCTGTACACATAAAGAAGAGTCTCAGTTCATCGGCTATATTGAGTCATTACGTCACATCTGTACACATAAAGAAGAGTCTCAGCTAGTCGGCTATATTGAGTAATTACGTTTAGCTGAACTTGAGAGTTCTTTTGTGACCCACTTAAGTAGGACTTAAGTATGTATTTATGTAATTTCATAATTAATTCTATTGTCTTTGAAATATGGAGCAATTTAGTGCATTTAAAATATATTTTATTCCCCCGGAAGTAAATAATTGTATCCCATAAAACTCATCGTTGATCACCAAAATTACATAAATATTTTTTCCTTAAAAAAAACAAACAAACATCTTGCCTTAAAATAGCTTGAATGTAACTACACACTTGCCTCATTTAGTATATGCGGTTCTATGAATATGTAAATAAGTCCCACCTCCACTCACTAACACCAGAGATCCACTCGTTGACAATCACACTTACAAAGTGCTCTTTTATATGTGTGTGTTAAGAAATGGTCATAAAAGTGTTCTTTTTAAGTAAACTTAGGTGTCATTTTGTTTATTTAATATTATATTATCTGTAAGTACAGCACTTACAAACATTCAGAACAATTTGGCACAAGTGGAACTTTGATTTAAAAAGACAAAAGGACAATATTCAATATTTTATTTAAAAATGTGGGTTATTGAACATGAACGTATGAGTTAAAAATTTAGCCTGTGTGTGTGTGTATGTATGTATGCGTGTATGTGTGTGTCTATACAAATATATGTTTTAAAAAAGTATAGGAGAATATTTATTTATTTTATTTCCTTTCAGCTGTGGTGCACTACATTTAGTTGTATTTAACGTGGAACAAATTTTGAATGAGGTCTTAAATAAGCAACTCTAATACACAAGAAATAAAAATAAATGTTTAATGTAATTGTTGATGAAGTAAAGCAGGTCTGCAGGACAGTGCTGTCACTGCTCGACATGTCTTGTCAACTACCCATTCCCTATATTGCTGAGACACAGAGACAGAGAAGGCTTGTCACTGAACACGATCTGTTGATCTTTAGATGAATTAAACACATCGCTGTTCTGTGTCTGATTCTTCGAGAGCTGTCCAGTGTCACACACACACTACACTGCCAAGCTAAACCAAAGCCTGCACAGATGTCTCGACGCCTCCGGGAGATCTAGGACTTTTTCTGAAGGCTGTGTACACAAACTATCCAGGTCTCTGCTGGAAGATCCAGTTTAAGCTGGTTGCAGTGTTTGGAACATAGAAGTTGGCTTCTAGCTAGTATAAGCTGGTTGTTAGCTGCTTGACCAGCAACCTAAAATCAGTGTTAAGCTAGTATGAGCAGCTGGTGGATTTCAGGATCATCGCAGCTCATACCAACTAATGAAATTCTTATACCAGCTAATGTCTTGACTGGACCAGTTAATTGTCTGGATACACCAGCTAATGACCAATTAAGAGCGAATGGACATTTTCAATATTATAACCATCTTAGCTGGAACTTCGCAAAAAAAAAAAAAAAAAAAATATGACAAATAATTAACGACAATATGTTTTTGCATTGCTGTAACTCGTTTTTGTTGTTTTATAAGTTATACAATATTCCACTCATTTTTTATAAAAATCAGTTTAGGTTAATGTAATTTAAGTTGAAATGACTTAAACATCCAAGATGATTGTAGGCTACTTACAACTTTAAGGCAGCTTAAAAAAAATTACAAGCTTAAACCTGAAATTTCGCCACTGTGTTATTTTAAACACTCCCAATTTGATTTACAAGGCTGTGAAATTAATACATGCTGATTAATACGACGAACAATATAACATGTGGTGCAGTGGCGTGGGTTGATTTTGAAATTGGTAGGGGGACATCAATGTATACAATATATTTTAAGTTTTAATCGAAATTATTGCTAGGGTCACTGGATATTGGTCCGTAGCGTCCCTACTAAATGTGTTGTATTTTTATTATTATAGGCTACATTTATGTATGCAAATAGCCTATTTTAATACGCTCAAGGAGATGAAACATCAGCGTACAACATGCGCGACCAACTCATTTATGATTTATAACGTTCATAACGCATATTTGGGCTGTCTTATATGAGAAACCTGAGCAAAATGACAGCAATGAAAAAAGTTTGATTTTGAAAAAATAAGCTGATGGGGACGATATTTAAACGTCTGACATACCTATAGTGGTGATGACCGTGATGGCGAAGTAAAAGGAGCCAGCGAACCTCCACTGGACCCCAGCCTTGTGAGGCTTCAGCTGCAGCACGACCCGCTCCAGCTCGTCAAAATTGACTTTGCTCAAGTTGTACTTGTCCATGAGCTCTAGCTTCCGATCGTCCAGGACCTTCTTTTGAGTGATCTCCATCTTGGATTCTAACGCGTCAAAAACAGCCGCTCCGACGAGCAAATAAGTGAAAGTGCAGATGATCAACACGAGGGTTCTGATGTTTTGCCTCTTCATGGTCAGAGCGAATGAAACGAGCCACAAACTTTGAGGAGTGATGGTGATGGTGATTTCATTGCGACTGAGCTGTTCCTTCAGCACCACGGGTGCACATGTGCCTGTTGAGTCAACATCTCAGCCTGGGTTCATCTTCAGAACCTCCCAGTGGTGCGAAACAGACAGTTCATTTACAGAGAGGTTTGAAAAATGGAGGATTATTGAGGCTTTTTAAATTCATTTTCTTATTCTTTTATAGCCTACTGTAATACTAAAAAAAAAAGGATTATCCAAAATGTTTTGTAGCCTATAGGATACATTGTCGAGTGTGGGTTTCGCGAACATCAGCTGTAAAGTGGAACAATACCGTTCATTAAATTTGCATGACATCATCATAGTGGAGACTGTGATCAAGCTTCAACAACTGATGCATGAAAAATCAGCCAGCACAAACATAAGCCTCTTTCAAAACTTCAGTTCGATGGTCAATTTTTTTTTTTTTGTAAGACAATAGCTTTCAGGTTAAGCTTTTAAAACTCTTCTGAATGATTATTAAAACAAACATTCTAAGTAAGTCATAAGTCTAGTCTCAGACTAAAATGCTTGAGCTGTTTTAACTAGAAGCATAAAGCATCTAACTGGAAGTCTTAAAATATTAAGATGCTCATCAGTCACATTTATAAATGCTACTACAAAAGCCTAATTCTGGCTTAATCTAAAGCCCTGTCTATGAAACCGGCCTTAAGAGTCTGGATATTTCCTGATATCTTGAAGAATGTAGTGCTGGAGGCTGCGCTGTATCGAATAAGTAGCTAACGGCTGAAGCGCGTTGTTAGGCGCGACGTGAAGCGGTAACCCCTTCAGCCGTTACTTATTCAAGATACAGCACTTGCCTCAAGTAGCCTACCATATTGCTTTTATAAAACGGTTACCACACAATAAAAATGTTAAAGTAAAAATAATAATAATAATTATATCTTAGTGCAACTTTCATGAAGTAAAATCACTAAAAACCTTCCTTTCGCTAGAAAAAAAATAGTCCCTGACCGTGAAAAGCAACAACGTTCCAATGTGTAATATTCATGAAAGCTCCGCTGGGTGAAGCGGTCATAGCCGTGTTTTTTTTTTATTTTTATGAATAAACCCAGATAGCACTAACACACGTACGTCTGCAAGATGTATGTTATCACTTCATCTAAGCATCTGCTGTGTACCATCTGATTAACATATTCCAAATCATTACATCTTAAAGACATCTTCTAAACGTCTATTTGACATCTGACAGGAAATGTCCTATAGATTTTTTTTTATTTATTTATTTTTTTGCAGATGAGCAAACACTCTAAAAAAATACGTCTTCTGTCTTCCAGATAAACACGCACATCAAATGGACGTCTCCGTGATTTGCTATCAGGGAAGCATGGCTATTGACCAATCAGAATCAAGGATTAACTAACCGTTTTGTAAATTAGGTTAAACTGACAGTAATTGTTTCTAGCTGACATGCTGGACATTCCTGGTCATGAACTGGTCCAAGCTGATCTACATAATGGATTAGTAGTATACCAGGTTATGGGGCTGAGATCAAGCTGGTAGATCTTGATCTCGCTGGTTAAAGAAGTTCCAAACAACAGCAACAACATTACCAACTTAAGTTGATGATATGCATTTCCAGCAGAGTCACAGACTTTACAATATTATATAATTATTGTAATAATTATGCATAGAAACTCTTTTGTAGTATTTCATATAGCATGCATTTAACATTGGCGTCCCATTGATATAATGTCTCACTTTAGCCTAAAAACATTTCAAGTGAAAGGCAGTTATTCTCAATTAGCGCATGAAATTGTCTTCAAAAAATGTCTTCATTTGGCACACCATGCACCCTATCATCTTAAAAATGACAACGCTTCCACAGAAAATGATGTTGATGAATAATTAAGCTTAATGTAATGACCTCTCTTTGTATTGTTCGTTCTCATTAGATTCCCTCCATTTCCTGAAGGATGCGGTGAGTGAGACTAAATGAATTAGGAATGTGATACTGTCAGCTCGGATAATCAGCTCTGCTGGCTCTGCCCAGATTCGGACAACAGATATTAGCCTATACATAATGAGCAGCAAAATACTGCCATATTCATCTGGATGCAAATAATGGCTAATCAAACTACAGAGGCAATAGGTAAAAACAGGTCTTTTATTCAATATTTTTTTTTTGGTTTATGTTTATGTTAATATGCCAAAACCATCATAGTTTGATACAGAAAGTGTGTTCAAAATCAAGCTTTTAATGTTGTCTATGTGTCTATGTGGTGTTTTTAATATGATTTAAGACAAACTATGTGTAAATTCAAGGGATGTCAAACGATTAATCGTGATTAATTGCATCCAAAATAAAAGTTTGTGTTTACATAATATATGTGGGTGCACTGTGTATATTTTGTATATACAGTGATTTGAATAAGTTTGGACACCCATGCTAAAGGTTCCTAAAAAGAGGAATAAAAAATCATCTTTTAGATATTGATCTTAATGCCTTAATTAGAAAAATGAGGAAAACTCCAACCTTTAAGGACACCAATTTTCTTTGTGAATGAATAATGTATCATAAATAAATAAATGTTTTTCCTTAAAATACAGTGTGCATAAGTCAGGACACCCCTTAAATGCCCATAGAGTCAGGCAGATTTTTATTTTTAAAAGCCAGTTATTTCATGGATCCAGGATAATATGCACCTGATAAAGTTCCCTTGGCCTTTGGAATTAAAATAGACCCACATCATCACACACCTTCCACCACACCTAGAGATTGGCATGGTTTTACTTCAGTTAGCCTAATAGCCGGTTTGATTTGCATTGAAAGATGATCTTATGGAAAGTACCCCATGCCAATCTCTATGTGTGGTGGGAGGTGTGTCTATTTTATTTCCAAAGGCCAAGGGAACTTTATCAGGATGCATATTATCCTGGATCCATGAAATAACTGGCTTTTAAAAATAAAAATCTGCCTGACTCTATGGGAATTTAAGATAGGGGTGTCCTGACTTATGCACCCCGTATTTTAAGGAAAAACATTTATTTATTTATGATACATTATTCATTCAAAAATAAAATTTGTGTCCATAAAGGTTGGAGTTTTCCTCATTTTTCTAATTAAGGCATTAAAATCAATATCCAAAAGAAGATTTTGTATTCCTCTTTTTAGGAAACTTTAGCATGGGTGTCCAAACTTATTCATATAAATACACACATATGCATATGCTATTTTAAGGCATTCATATGTTTTTAAATGGAGAACTTTAAACTTTATGTAATAACTTTAGAATATGTAATTTTGGGTGATCAAAGAATAGTTTTAAGGGATACAATTATTGACTCCATGGGGACTTTAAATGTAGTAGGCTACTTAAGATGACTGAAAGGGTGCAAGTTCTTCCACATCCACTCTTGACTTACAGTATAATGGTGTTATCAGGGGAATGATTAAGTGTGCATGCGGCGACTGTCCATAAGAGAGCGTACTTGCGCAATATATCCATAACATCCAATAAATTACTTCCAAGCCTATTTTACGCATATTGAGGTCATCACATTCACAACATAATGCATCAATTCATGTGGAATGTCAGAATGCGTTCAGTGATTTATGGACAAATAAGGACTTAAAAATTTGCAGCATATTTTACTAAACCTGACTGCAGCTTGTTTTTGGTTATTCATATTACGCGGCTATTAATGCAAACACATTTCATCTTTCAGTTTAGGGTGAATCTAGCTCGCTCTTTAAGACAACAATGGGACTTGTTTCTGTTCCAGCCTTTCAATTTTTGTTTGACTTATCCAAGTGTTTTCCCCTCCCTAAAGCAAAACACCGCTGGTCTTATTTACCACAGCCAAGTTCCTCTATCTAAATGGCCAGTTAATGGGAAGTGAAGTAGCCTACTTTTACAAAATTATAAAACATTTTCAGTGCATTCGCATTTCAGTCAAACCGCATTCGCCCCAGTTTAAATAGCCTACCACATGAAGCAGAACATGTCCAGTACTGCTCAAGTTACCTTTGGTAGACTGCAGCTGGGCGGTCCTCTGACTAGCTAGAAAGTCACCAGAGAACAAAGTTTGAAATGAGTGTCTGCAAAACAAACCTGTTCAACACACACTGACTGACTGGGCGCGCGATCAATAATGGATTCAGCCAAGCGGGATGAACACATGAGCGAGCACGCCGCCAACCTACTGGGGACAGGACAGCGGTCCAAACCGACACAAAACGACACAAAAACAAGGTCAAGATGCGTGAAAATCCTCTTTGCGGTAAGAGAAGTCTCATTGGACAGTAGCCGGTGTCTGAAAGGTTAAACAAACAACTCATAACTGACTCCGTGCTACTCATTTAACCCTTAAGCTTAATATTTTGCGTAAAGGTTTTCTTTTGTTATCTTTCTTTAACCTATTTGAAGTACATTTACATTGGCTACATTCTTAAAAATTAACATTTTTTTTGGCCTCTGGTTCAGTGCTGCACCTTTATATTCAGTGGTTTCAATATTTATTTCACAAAAGGTTCGATAATAGTGGAAAAATCTTCTTTAGATTTTTAAAATGTGATTTAGTGATGAGAAAAATGTGTGTTCTTTTAAGAACTGTTCACTTATAGAGGTTCTTTTGAGAACCAAAAATGACTCTTCTACAAAAAAAAATAATAATAATAAAAAAAAAATAAAGAATAATAATAAATTAAAAAGCATCTTCTCACAAGACCAATGTATTGTAATACATATTATAGTATAGTATAGTATATGGATGCTTAACTTAAGTCAGATGATGACTCATGAGGCACAAGTTGTCATTCATCAAAAAAGAAAAGGTGTATTTTCTTAGATGTATATTTGTACTTTTTAGTATAACTATATTGTACATAAAGTTTTGTGGCGTTTCATCTTTGTTTAAAGTATCTTTAATCATTTTTGCTGTTAGATATAGGATGTTTTAGGTAGCTGAGATTTAGCTCATCATTCGTCCTAATTTTTTCAGGGTTCCTACCTCAGTGAAAGCATGGAAAGATGGGGGAGTTACGGAAATGAATATAATCTAAAGTCATAGACATGTCTATTGTACTGCAAAAACAAGTAACAAATGGCTGCAGAATAGTTTCGGAGAAATGTTACAATGATTAACTAGAGAAGCCAGTGTACCTCACTGTGTAACATAGCGTAACAACATGCCTT